AACAGGAGTAAGATTGATGTAGCAACTTTTCATGTTCAGACTTAAGAAGAACAACTGCAGGAACATTCCTTTGTTTTCGAAACCCTAAGCTAAGCGTTCAGCACCCAAACTCTACCCGGAGGATGCCGGCTTTGCCATCAACGGTGGAAAAGGCTGGGCTGACGTGGTGTTCCTAGGTACCGCAGTTTAGGGGCACGTTCTTGGCTACTTGTTGTGTTGGGGCGAGAGACTGTAGTACGATTCATGTCTACGCATGGCTCGGCTCGACCATTTGGGGAGGTGTTCGCAGCTGTATTATACTTCGCCGGAATTGCTCGAAGAAATTGATACTAGGCGGCTCAGCAAAAAATATCCATATCATATACAAGCATGTATTATAATAGTCCAGTATTGTTCGGAAGCACTGGAGTTGTTCAGCCATATGCAATGCCGGGCATATGGTTGCATACGGTCCGAAACTTCACAGTTCCCAGCTGTTTTGAATTCTTCCAAGCTGTTTACTGCGCGCCCCCATGCATGTTTAGTCAAAAATAGATGTTATGTATGTAGTTCAAACACCGTCGCACAGACTTGGATTGGGGTAGGGCCCGAGGTTGGGAGTTTGAAGCCTTTTTCTGGGTTGCTGTTAAGGAACTTAAATTAAGTTGCTATATTGGGGAAATCCTATTATTTACTATATATACCCATTATGGTAACTTAATTTAAGTTCCTTAGCAGCAACCCAGTTTTTCCTGGCTTGCTGGGGGCTCAGGTTCCAGAACCATCAGATCGACGTGACGGGCAATGTCGCCACTGGGGCCAGCATGGAATAAGAAGGTTAGCTGCATGATAGTTGTTCTGGGCCCAGGGGCGTCAGAGGTGGGGTACTGACAGTGTTGCAACTGTAGTTGTAGTCGAGGTGCTGGTCGAGGGTCTTGCCAATCCCCTTGTCCATGGTCATTCTTTTTTTGCCTATTTCTCGCAAGCCCCCGTTTCACTAATCATCCTCTCTTTGGTCTCGCGGTCCTCCGCGCACTTGGTTTTGTGGTCATCAGGTACATGGTAGTTTCCCAAAATTAGGGGACCCCAATATAGACCCCAAAATACTATAGTCCTTATTATGGGGACCCCCAATAAGGGTACCCCTAATTTTGGGAAACCCCCACATTGTTCCCTTCATCCCTTGGCCCGCGCCGGTGGCCTTTTCATCATCCTTGGGCCTCGTCGTGCACCGGTCCTTTGCCTGCGCCCCCTCCCACTTCCTTATTGATGTTCAAGCAAAGCAAATGGCAAGCAAGTCTTATGCCAAGTGATTGCGCCGCCGGGGCCATGAGTGAAGCACGGAAGAAAGGAATGAGACCGGGAAGCAGAGAAAGGAGAGGAAGGAACGAAAGAAGGAAGGAGACACAGCAGCAAGGAGCAGGGTATATCAGCCTTCTGGCTGCTCAGACCTCGCGGGGCGTCATTCCATGCCTGCTAAGTCCTATCAGAGCTTGCCTCGATGTTTTGCACATGAGCGTGCCCGGCCTCCTCCCAACCCCCCTCTCAGCAACCTTCGTCAGCAAACGCAGCGCTTCGGAAATGGTATGAAACTTGCAAGTTGCATGTTCTCTTGTTGGTCCACGTCTTGCAAATGGGGAGGTCTGCACAACCCCAGCCTTCCTACCATTTACCACAACGCAGGCACAATGCCTGAGAAGTCCGATGACAATCGAGCGACAAGATACATGTTTTATTCGTCGCCCACTTTATGCAAGTCGAGGGGGGTCGCTTCTCCCCCCTACCTGGACAACTCGGAGCCTGGGCCTGCGCGAGATGAATTCTGTGCAACTCGTAGCAAGGGTAGGGAGACAAGAATGAGGCATCCTGCCCGACCTCTTCCTCGACCACCCTCCCCAGCCCCCGATTCCGCAAAGTGTTTTTCCTTTTATAGCGTGATGACTCCCATCCGCAAGAACTGCACCAGCTGGGCACGGTGCCAGAACAGGTCGGCAGAAAGCATCCTCATTTTGAGCGTGTAGTTACCACATGATTCTCATCTTTTGCAAACTCCTCCGCGCCATCATCATCATCATCATCATCATCATCATGATCATTATCGTCATCACGCAGATGAGTAGTGGCCGTAGCCGTCATGGAGGAGTTTGGGAGACATGTTTCCAAACTTGGATACGGTCCAACCGTGTACGAATAATAGAGGCGCTAGCAGGCCCATGAGTAGTAATTGTGACCGTAAGCGTCCCCCAGAAAAAGTTTGTGAATTCTTTTCCAACCATATTATAGCTATGGGTGCCCCCGTGTCCTAATGGGAGCTCTAGATCAGCTATAGGCCATCGCTATGGGAAATTACTACTTCACCAGCT